GCAATCAAAGTGCTTCACAAGTTAGGACCCAATAAAAACAGACACATTTACCAACAGCAAAACAACAGCAACACAAGAAAAACATAGAAACCAGCCAAATGATAGTCAAACTAACCTGAGTCAGAGCCAAAGTAAGAAGATGAGACTTTAAGTGAGATTTAAAAGCCTGAATAGACTCAGCTGTGCAATAACATTCTTTGATCAAGGTTAGATCAAGTAGTTGGTCTTAAAGCCAGACTGGAACTTTTCACTAATACCACTGGTATCTAAGAAGTTGTTTACAAACTACTTTTTCCAGGAGTTTTGACAAAGAGGGAAGTTTAGAAATTAGCCTGTAATTTGAAAGAACACTAGAATCAAGATTGGTCTTCTCAATAACAGGTTGTACAACAGCTCGAAGGCAGACGGTACACAGCCTGACAGTCAGGCATTCAATATACATGAAATACAGGGCCCAGTAGTGTTCAGCGCTTCCATAACATGGGGAATGGAGATTGTTAAGTGATCAATTATTTCCTTTACATCCGAAAGAGATGCAGGCTCAAACTGCTGAAAGACAGCAAAGCATTTAGGACTGGGACTTGATGTGAGACCACCGATAAAAGCTGGGCCCTTGAAGTTGTAATTTTATTAATAATATACCTTAAAAAAATTCACAAAGGGAGCGAGGATTGTGGCAATTGGTCAAAATAAGACCGGACAAGAAGGCAGATTTAGCAGCTGTCATAGACTTGTGATATTTTGATAAACAGTTTTGAAGGATTTTCAGTGACACTTGAAGCTTCAGAGCACAGGTATTTTCATTCAGCCAGAGTTGATGTAAAGACTGAGTACACGTAGTCTTTGGAGGAGCCAGAGTGTCCAGAATAGAGGAGCATGTGGAATTAAAAAGGTTGGAAAGCTCATCCACCGATCATTTCTTCCTTTTTTCTTTTTTTTTTTGCTGCTCCCTTAACTTTAGGTATTGCCACAACAGATTATCTAACCTAATCTCGTAATCTGGCGTGTGTGTGTGTGTGTTTATTTAAAGATTGTAGCATTTTCTGAACTGGTAAACTGTCAGGTTGGATAGTGAATGAGGACCCCAAATGCAGACTCTCAGGCAGGGAATAAATTAAATCAACTCTTTATTGAAGGCAATCCAAACCCAAAAGATAACAAAGGAAAGTATTGAAAACATTGAAAAACCAGGAAACACGAGGGAACCCAGCTGAAACTAATCAGGGAAACAAGACAAAATAAAACAGAACACTAAACACAAGACTAGGGTTGGCAAAATAAAGAAGGAAGCGATTAAACAAGGAGAAATCACAGAAAGAAGACTT